TGGCATCACCAACTATTACATTGCCAATGAATCTCAAAAGGCATGGTATTATTCATCATCAGCATCGCCATCATGGCAGTATTGAAATTACTGAATGATTTGTATCCATTGCCAACACACAATACACATCTTTTACATCGGTTTCACATCGATAATTGTTACCTTCAATTTACTCTCTATTATCTCTGTATCGCAACGTAAATTGTTCAATAAATGTTGGTCGATTCTTGTATCCGTTTAAATGAGTTTCCCTTAAGCCGCCCACAAAATCGGCATTAAAAATAAAACTATATCTAGTTATGAAATATATATAGAAACAATAAACTATTGATATTTACTCAAGGGGCGGAGATGAGTGAGACTCAAACATGTGCTTCTTCTTCAAAACAATACATACACAAGCATCATATGTACAGCAGAAGTCAATAAGTATTCATCACAGAAACAAAGCTGGATAGCGCGCGCATGTATTTGTGTTTGTATACTTTTGATGTTTTTGAGTTAGTGTGTATGTATTGTTTTGAAGAAGAAGCACATGTTTGAGTCTAACTCGTTTAGATTTAAATTACTTAGGCATTTCCAGGCCATGCATTTACTCATTGGACGCAGACAATATAAACGATTTTCCATCAATGGAATATGAAACTTTCATTTCCAACGATTTATATTGAGTACACCATCGATATTTCTCTGAATTGAGTCGAGACTTAGTGTGGTGAATAAAAAAAATATTTATATGATCCCGGAAAAGAGTAAGGGAGTTGCTATCGTAACGAGATGTTCATAGGTTTCGTGTGACTCGAGCACTTTGATTACTTGATTGAATACTTGGGACGGAAACTAACTCTTTTTGGCATTACAACCGTTCAACGTTTGGCCATATTCCATTGTCATTCGATTCACCCGTTGACATATTCTCCGGGGAACACATACACACATAAAATGTTTTGTTTGAATGGTCAATGCGGCGAAATCTCGGTGATATTTCGTCTTCGATTTACTTGATTGGTTTCAAATCTCGAATGTGCATTCGATGCACATTAGGGTGTTTCCACATGAAAAATATTAAAAAGTGGCTATTATCATTTTGAAGAGCGTTAAATTCTGTATAAGATGATTTGATTTTTGATGCTGATTGGTGGCCGATGTCACTTCCTGGACTAAAAACACATTTGTAAATTGATTTCATGTCGCATTCACGCCAAAATCTGTAATTGATGAAAATATAAGATTGAACTAAATTAAAAACACTCAAAATAATTTTAATATCAAAATAATTGCCTAAATATTAATGAAAGTAACACAAAAACTCACAATTTTACCACAATAAACCAAAACATTGCAAATTCGCCAATTCATTTGACAGAATGACATTTGAAGCGTGATTCGCTCACGCATGACAAATGACAGGTTATGTGTCAAATGAATTGGCGAATTTGCATTGTTTTGGTTTATTGTGGTAAAATTGTTAGTTTTTGTGTTACTTTTTTTGAATATTTAAGCAATAATATTGATACTAAAATTATATTTCATATTTTTAATTTTGTTCAAACTTATAATTTCATTCTGGCGTGAATGCGACATGAAATCAATTTAAAAATGTGTTTTTAGTCCAGGAAGTGACATCGGCGACCAATCAGCATCGAAAATCAAATAATCTTATACAGAATTTTACGCTCTTCAAAATGATACTAGCCACTTTTTAATATTTTCCATGTGGAAACACCCTAATGCACATTCATTGTTGTACCCACATCACAAATAGACAACGAGCTTTTTATATGTGGGTACGAGAGAGCTCTTCGGTGGTAAACTGAATATATTCATTGAAAGAACGTCAAGATTGCATATACGTAAAGTAGTTTATCTCCTTTAGCGTTTATTTCTTCTTTTATATCTTCTTTTTTTTTGTTGTTTTCTCTCCCATGCTATGTTCATTTTATGCGATCTATTCGAGCGTATGCGATACGGTTCCGCAAAGTGTTGAAGCAGAACACAAATATCTATATATGTGTTGTCATAATGCACAATACTCAATTTAACCTTACTTTGATGAGTCTAATGTCAAACAATTCAAACAAAGTGAATTCCAAAAATAGCAAACATTATCGAAATTACACAGTCACTTTGTTGCGTCTAAAAAAGGAATCGAATTCTATGAATTAACAAGTATATTCTATTGAACACTTGAGCCATCTCTCTCTCTCTCTCTCTCTCTATCAATGCCATGGCACATTTAGTTTCAAAAGGCATCTAATTACAAAATTTCAACTATAAAATCGAACAATGCAAATTAGGGTGAAAAATTGCGGTCGCCATCCGAATTTTAAAAAAAAATGTGCTTGAATTCGCATGCACTTTTTCCGAATGTTTCCGTTTTCTATTAAGACAACAATATCATTTGTAAGTGTGCCAGACGAATAAGAAGAAGAAGAAACTATATAGAAAAATAGCTGCAACAAGAAAAATGGAGAGAAAAAAATGGCGAATATTTGTTTCTATTCAATGTCACTCATTGTCGCCACCCAGTAAACACAAAAAGTGCTCATGATTTGTATAAGAAAGAAATTTCCATTTATTCATGGACTTTTTTCCTCTCTCAAGTATAGGGAAATACGAGAGCAGAAAAAGGAGGAGTAAACGGGAAAAAAGCATAATGAAGAAAAAAAACACTAGAGAACAAACCACGCGCATGATAAGAAATTCTGGAAAGCAACGTTGCAAAATTATGGAATGTTATGCATAATTTTATATAGAATAATCTGCGATTCGGCATATACTATACTACTCTCTCTCTCTCACTATGTGTACATTTTCTCTCTTGCTGAACTGTTGTAGTTGGATCGGTCGGTTCCATTGTTGGTTGTATTGTTGTTTGTAATGGTATCAAATTGGTGAGATTGAATGTCACTATTTCGACTACTTATGTGTACGTCACTACCTCAGTATCGTTATCGTGGTATTTTCATGACATATCTGAGCACATTTATTTCTTTTTTTTTACATCGAACACTGAATAGCAAGCAGTTCGATTTCGATTTTACATTGTTTTGTATCATCATTTCTGCCGCCTCTATGATGATAAAAAAAATATCGTTTTGTTTTCTATACGCCTTTTTCATTCATATATTTTCAATGTTATGGCTTGATAAAAAAGGGCCCAAAACGTACTTTGTATTCAAAAGAGATTTTCTTAAATTATTTATCGACAAAGAGCGAGAGAGGGAGAGAGAGAGAGAGCAGAACGATGACTTTCAGAGAGAAGGAACAAGTGCTATCATTCTTGATCAAATAATAATTTATTACGGCGCTAGTTATGTATTTGTCATTGAATTTATTCAGTGGAATTGGGCATTATTGCTTTATGCATAAGCTTATATGTCACATAAAAAGCAAAAATAGGCAGACTTAACATTCAAATTCAACATCTTTACATAAATACGCCAGATATGTGTTCCAAGTTTGGGTGAAACATAGACGCTTTTGGGATCAAATTTCGAATGATTTTATCTGTGTAACAAAAAAAACGATGTTGTTTTTCTCGGTTGCTCTCTGTGTCATATCAGAACATAGTTAATCTCAATATAATTGTTTTGAGTGACCTGAACCAACATAAAAACAATTCAAACTTTCCACCTTTGGGATTCTATCGAACACAAATGCAAATCCCATACACATACTTGCACGAACAACCCATCCATAGTTTTTGTGTTATATTTTCTTATTTAATTCATTTTATTATTTCTATCACGTTTTCGAAACTAAAAAAAAGAGTCCAAAAAACATATGCTTAGTTTAAATTCGCATCCATCGACATTGAAATTGTCAATAAAGTTGTATTTATATGCATTGAATGATGGCTACCAATAATAATAGCTACCAAAATAGCAATGAAACAATTATTTATTACATGTGAAAAGTCGATCATTTGAAATCATCGCCAAACTGACTACATTTTTGTGCATGGAAATTTTACGATAAAACTTCACATCGAGCCAATTATTATCGATAAATGAAAGAAAAATTAAATAAAAGAGAATAGACAAGAAGGTAAAACATATCTACTAGTTTGAGAAATGTTCACTATTTTTGGTCTGCGGTCAAGTATGTGGGTTGTTGTTGATTTTAACACACAAACATTTGGTCGAATTTGTTTGGTTTTCTAGCCGAATCAAAATCAATATGCACTATACAAGTTTTATCTTTTCGGCGTACAGAGAAAAACATACATACACAGTTATAGTGTCAGTTTATTTTACAACCAAATCGATATCCGGCCTGAAATTGTTTTATGCATAATTGAACAACGACATCAATCGTTTGCAACAAAGCTCTCTATATTGTCTATTCGATAGGGCGCTCTCGTGTATTTAGCGAATGAAAATGTCGACAACCGTAAAATCATACGGGATTTCCTTTTTCAACTAGCTTATTTTTTTGCGTATACACCTTGATTCGAAATCACATTGTGTTCAACCTTTATTTTACGTGAATTTATTTCAGGGATAGTGTACAAAATATAGTAAAAAGAAAATAGTAGTAATTTTTTAAATTTTGTGGTTAGTTTTGATGTAGATTCATTTCATCGTTCGCATTCGAGATATATATGCGCCAATCTAGCATCTATTTTGATGCTTATTACAATAGTTTTGGTTGGCTGGCAGGCAAACATTTCATTTCAGATTCGAAATGGCCTAAAGTGTGTTGGGATCGCATGAAAATTTCAATGCTTCTGTCGAATTTTTCGACATATAACATACGACGTCGAAAAATGTACATAATATACAAGAATATCTGAATATGTATTAGCCTCTTATTTATATACCTATATAAGTAATATGTATACTGAAATTGATTTCTGATCTTATTCGCAATTCGATTTTGTTTTTTCCTTTTCTTTCATATATCTACATTTCCTTCATCTCTTCCGGATATGTGTGCACGATGATATCATAACTATAAATTTATATAACAAATGTTACTGTGATGGCACTGTTTAGAGCAAGCAGCAACAAAGATTCAAGCAGTTTTTCGTGGACACAAAGGTTTGTATAAGCGAAAAAGACGACAAACAGAGATAAAAAAACTTACTTTTAATGACATATATTTGAAGCGAAAGAAAAAAAAACTCACTGCAACATTGCTTTGAGCTCATAAAGACAATCTTCTCTTTTTTTCGCTCTTCGTAATTTAGTACGCGCAAGCATGAAGCAAGGAGATTCATCAAACAGCACCAATACAAAGAACGCAACATCAGCAACTGCCATAAGTAATGCAAGCAATGAACCTGAGCCAACTGAAGATGAATTAAAAGCGGAGTTTCGGGAAGATGATAAAGGTAAATATTATTTGAATATTCTTTTAATCGCCTTATTCTCATCGTTTTTATCGATTCCGTTTTTATCGCATTTATTCGCAATTCGGTCGTCACTTTAGCACATATATTTGGTTTTATCACAATTTATCCGCCATTTGGTCTCTAGGTCATTTTATTATCACAATCATAAATACAAAAAAAGAAGAAGAGAAAAGTATGAAATCGAAAGATCGACACTAAACCATATAGCCTGTGCTGGTGCTATTCCATTTTCATTCTTCTTTATCGCTTTTATCATATCATCTTTTCATGTATCTTTCAAATAAATGGCTTGCACTTGATGCTTCATATCGCTCCATATTCATGTGAGTTGCTTACGAATTCATTCGTTGCCTTTTCACCACACACTCCCTCTCCCCATCAAACCAAACGGAACAATGAATTCGAATGTTTGTGTGTGTGTTTTGGTTCTGGGATTTTGCATAAACCTATTCTATTATATTTGAAGTCAGTCTACACTTTACATGGTGTATTTTCGTTTTGTTTTGTATATAACTCGATTTGTTAATTCTATATCACGCATGTTATAAATGTAAAAACAAATTGTCAGATCATGTTGTGCATATTAACTAAAGTGAAAGCTTTTAAGCACTATCCCAGAACTA